TCGGATGCGTCGGCAGCATCAGCAGCTGGAGAGAGAATGATTTTATACTCCTCCACTTCTTCTCCCGTCTCCATCTCCTGAAGCGTAAGCGGACTTCGTGGCCGTTCGTGGCCGTTCGGGTCTTGACGGTCGCTTGGCGTGAGAGTTCTCCCAGCATGAGCTGTGCACTCCCGGTTGTTGGCCCACTGATTTCCGCAGATGCGACGGTCGACTGGATCGGGTTTTCGTCCCTTTCAAAGGGCTACACCACGGATCGACTGGATCGACGTACGGATCCGGGCCACTGGATCGAACTGTCCGACCTGTCCCAAAACACCAACCGTTCGCCCATCTGTCCCCGAAAAACCTTTTTGTTTTTGTTTGTTTTTTTTTCTTTTTTTCGGAACCCCATATGAAAGAACCAGCGCAAGAGTTGTTGAAACGAGCGCGGCGAATGTATACGCAGTGTGTTTTCGCCTTCAGGTGGAACATCTGTAATCGCAGGTTTTGACCCGTAGCATTGACGCATAGCAATGAATGTATTGCTCTACCCTCACACTAAGCTTGATGGGAGTGCAGTCGACACACTTCTCACGAGAAGCTTGACGTAGCCTTTTCCCGCGGGCGGCCATGACTGGCATTGACGTGGCAGGCACATTCGTTAAAGCCATAATAGCCATATATGAAGTATATGGAACCGAATGGGTGGACTATAATCCATGTCAACCAAGCCCAGTCTATGACCTCCAACCTAGAAGCGATGGCCTCCAACCTACTAGCGATGGCCTCCAACCTAGAAGCGGTTCACATTGGTTAAAGCGAAGTGCCATATCCGAGCAATGCCGTATACCTCTCTTCAGTTTCGATGCCATCAGTGAACTCCATCAAACCAAAAATCCTATATACAGACCCCCAAGTATATATTAATATAGATAGAAAAGTAAATCCCCAACAAACACACCCATCTCCTCATCATCATCGCCAAAGCCTGGCCATGTCTCTCTCTCTCTCATCTGAAGACGATGTTTTCTCTGACTTTCTTTGTCTTTAAAGGACGGATCTTCATCAAGCAACAGCAGGAAGACGAATGACGAATGCCAACCGCCCGGGAGTATGTCTGAGCGCGACATGACCGCGAAGTCTGTGATTTGGGGAGCAGAAGTACATCGGGCGCAGCAAAGCTACTAGAGCTACTGGACTCGAGCCAGTAAGGTCCAGACCAAGGCAGGGTTGACAATACTCTCCATTGACCAAATGAAAGAACACCTGGAACCTGTGCTTCGCCTTCCAAGAACCAGATCATTGATTTGCCACGGCCGCCTTCAATGAGCTCATCCTCTCTCACAGGTTCAGGTGAGGTGTGGAAGCGCTTGGAATTTCGATGAGATTCCTTCATCTCCTGGAAACACGCAGTCGGAAGATGGTCGGAGCTTCGTTTGGAGAAAATGCGGGAAAGCCTCATGCATGCCTCTTTGAGGGATGGAAGCCATAAGCAGAACATCTACGGCCCTCGACACGCGAACTCACAACGAAACGAGAAGAAACACCCGCGGCACACCAGAGACCCAGCCGCTTCGCTGCTCCTCCGCCTCTTCCTGGGGATGGTGTCACAAACTGTCACAAACACATGGGGGATCTCAGTATCTCTCGAGTAACACAAAAACCCGCCAAAACGCACCAAGTCTCACATGATTCTCAAGCCTCTGACTTTCCACTCCGTCCATTCCCCGCGATCATGTGGATGTTTGTCCGACCCATGATCATGAGGTTCCCAAGGATCAGCCTTCTTCACCAAGGAACTGAAGCTTGAAACCATCCCGGAGTCAAGCCCCTGGGGTTGTTAGAGTCATTGGAGCTCCGCCGCGTCGGTTCGCTGGAACCTCCTCGCCGCGTCTGTTCGTGACTGAACCTGGTCGACGTTACCACCGCGCCGGTGGGAACATGCACCGGCGGTGTGCAAAAAATCGGTGTAAATTTAATTTACTTGCATGTTTGAATATGTTTGACATGTCCTCTTTGTGTTTGACGTCAATTCCGGTGAGGCAAGGGGAGCGCCTTCCTTCCCCCCTGCCAAAAAAATAACATATACCGCGCCATAATGGCGTGCCATACCGGGAGGGGCTTGGCTCCCGAGAAAGGGATCATCCTGACATATCCTGACCAACCCGGAGAACCCTTCAAACGACGAAATCCAGTGATTCCGATGATCATCAAACGCGTGGTCCATGAGCATCTGGGTACGTCTTTTTTTCGGAAGACCCTCCCGAAATCTCGCCCCGGCTAGGTAGACTGGTCTGTTTCCTGGTCGCCTTCCACAAGAGAGGTCTTTCACTGGATGGTCTCCCCATTAAAGAAACATGCCAAATGAGTTGGAAGTCATTTGATTTGAGGTCAACAAAGCTCTGGGCATATCTCTAGGTGTCGTGATTTGGCCTCCTGATTTCTGTCCGTGGCCTTTTCAAGACCCAACAGTATGCTCCTTCGAGTCTGCTGCGATCGGGATCGGGCAGGGGATGCGGCCAGTCTGCAGCGAACGTGGTGCGGGCGACGCATCGGCGGAAGTCACCGAGTCACCGACGCTTGACGACGTGAAAACAGTGTCAGTCCAGCGTTTGAAGCACTTCCTGGAATCATCGTTGGACTACGTGGAAAACCCACCATTGGACCACGGAGTCGAATGATCTTCGGGTTTCATGGCGCCATCCACGATCCACGGTCTCCCATGATGATTCCAGAAAAGGTCACCAAAGGGTGTTCCCGGCGAATCGGCGAAGACGAGAAGCGCAGGAAAGCACTGTGCGTCGACTTCGGCCAAGCCACGCTTTGACTTCATCCGAGCTTTCTCTGTCATGGTCTTTCGCAGAAAGGCTACGAACACACCTCAATGACAAAAGCATACAACATAGAGAATTAGCTGGTGGAAAGTGTTCCAGATTCACAGCTTGGATAGGAACCCAGGAACACTGATGGGACTTGGAAAAGAAGATGCCAGCTTCAAAGCACTTGAAATCTTGCTCTTTTGCCCTCTTCATCCCTTGATCTTACATGTAGCTTCTTGCTTCTTCACTTCTTTCTGATATTCTTTTTGACACCAAAAGCTCACAAGCCCACCTCACCTCACCTCACCACCATACCGCTATGGCTCTGCCAAAGGACAAGAGAGGCGCCGAGTCCGTGAGGCTCGGTGGATTCAACACTTCCGGACTCTCCGGCAGATTCGCTCGCAGGTCTTCCTCGGTGACCCGGTCGGCCGGTTTGGGCGGTGGTCACCGGTGGGTGGCGGTGGTCGTTGGACCGGTGCGGATGGGTGGAAGAGGAAGATGGGCACAGCACTCGAATGTGCCACTGGGTCTTGGGTGGGAACCCCAATTTGGCATCGTACCCCAATCACGGATGGGGATCCAACCTGGTACAAGCTCAGTTTGGTCATCAATCAAAGGTCTGCTGCCAGTGTGGAAGGGGAGATGGTGAAGAGTTGATGCAGATCGGATGGGCGTGACGTCCCAAGGCCAATCGACCCCTCAAACAGCCAGCTACGATGCTCATCGTTACAATTATATATTGCACATCCCTGTCACAAAGAGAGCTGGATCCCCCAATCATCTCATTCTTCTTCAAGACTTTGCTCCAGGGCTCTGCCTCATCGTCATCTTCAGCCAAATGGCGAAGGTCATTGAGGTCTGCCTCCAGCGCGATAAGGTGCGTGACGTGGCTCGCAGGTCGGAGGTAGAGGTCCAGAGGTCTTGCTCAGCTGCCAAGGAGTTCGGGTGGTTTTCAACGACACCAAGCAAACGACACCAAACACCTGGACTCCGTGGTGCTGAGTGTGTACACATGTCGATAGACGATTAATCAAGCCCCCCCCAACTTTAGATGGGAAAACCTGCAAAAACTATTCATACACTGTTCTAGGAACAAGGACGCTATTAGGGGCTCCTGGCATCGCTACTAGGAGCAAGGACGCTACTAGGGGCTCCTGGCCGTACTACTAGGAACAAGAAGCTATTAGGAACAAGTGCATCGCTTCTAGTAACAAGTGCCTTACTAGTAGTAACAAGAAGCTACTAGGTGCTCCTGGCCATACTACTAGGAACAAGAAGCTATTATATAGGAACAATTTTTCTACATTTCAATTAGCTGCTTGGGGACGGTGGGAGCGTCAGGAGTTGAGCCTTTCAGGGAGTGAAGAAACGCTCGACCAAACAATCGAATCTGTCCAATTGCCAATATGGCTTAATTATAGTACATTTTATAATGGGTTTAGATGGATTGGATCGTTTAGTCAAACATGTTTGTCCACTCCAATCTGTCCAAACCAGGTCAAGTCATGTTTTCCCTTTCAGAAAGGCTCAACTCCCGCCGCATATCCTACAGCCATGTTCCACTCATAGAATGGCCATGTCGTGTGCTTTACACATACAAATTGATCATGATACCTGTCGCTTGTGGCCAGCACGTCCGGCGAAGCATGATGAAAAGGCAGCTTGGCCGTGCTTGCGGCCTTCATTCATACCGTCCCGGTGTGCTGAGCAGAGATCCACTCCCCACGACCCCCACCACGACTCCGCGACCGGACCACGACTGCGGTCGCCTCACCGATCCGTGGCGCCTCACGTCCGTCCTCCGTCCTCGGTCGCCATCGGTCGCGGTGCTTCGGACCCAGCGATCGGTCGATGGAGGAAGGACCGGAGGTGCCCAGAACCTCTGAAAGCTTCTGTTTTCTATGTGGATTGGTCGCCCCACATACGTATGGAAGTGAATTAGAACTTCCCACATACGTTGGTTTCCAGAACCTCGCGTCGAGCCGCGACCTGTTAATTGTCCACACACCAACGTTGTTCACCCGCCCACTGGACTCTTCCATTCACCGATGGACTCTTCAACGTCGGACGTCTACAAGGACCCCGGCGGACGGCACGTCACGGGGACATGGAAAATCCGTCCAAAAATGTCCAAAACCTCAACGCTGCATGGTTCGACAGCCTGGTCGGCCGCCTAGGCCAGCCCGCTGTATGGCCGCAGTCTAGACTCAGTGTCCCCTACGTCGGCTGACCTGGCCTGAAGTCCCCCAGATGGAACCTCCCGGCCTTGATTCTACCGTCTCTCACCTCTTTTCCCGTACGAACCGGCTGGGTACAGGTGAAACGAGCCGCGACGTGAAAACAGCAACTCAACCCCAGAGATGTTCTCCCGGTCGCGCAGCACGCAGGTTGGTAGGAGCACCCTCTTGAACCGGTGTCTTCCGTTGCTCCTCCCGCATCCGTTGCACTTCATCCCGCAGCAGGTCCACGTTCATGCGCTCGTGCGTGAGGGTCTCCGATTGACGTTCCAGCAACGCCTTCTGCGCCGCGAGGCTCTCTCCCAAGGGTTTGCCGCTGTCGCCCAGGGCGCGCAGCTCTGCTTGAAGGCCGGCACGTTCCGCCTTGAAGTCCTCACAAGCCCTAGCGAGGCGCTCTTGCGTGTTTCTCAGCCTCTTACGGCCGTCTTGCAAGTCTCGGCTTCGGAAGTCTAAGCTTTGCTTCAACAAACGTAGCCCCGACAATTCATCCACCTTGGGGCGAAAGGTCCCCACGTCCAAACCATGGAAGTCCGCCATGGCAGGAGCACCGTGCAACGCAAAGGGCAATTTCTTGGAAGGGCTGTGAAGGGTGCGGGACATATGGAGGCATGCCTGAGGATGGCTTGGATGTGTCGAGGTGAACACATGAATCATTCCTGCCATTGGCGTGGAAGCTGTGTGCTCGATGAATCTCTCATCACGAAGCTCGAAAATACTGTGTTTTGATGGATTAGAAGGTACTGATGCCTGATAGGTAGGTTACGATGAATTGTCGACTTGCACTTTCGAGAGGGGCCAAAGAAACACTTCAGAGGAGCACCCAATGAAGTTACATGTGCCACAAGTGTCAACCAAACAGAACAGCTGCGGAACAGCCGCTTCACCACTCACTGAAGGGCTCCGAAGGCCAGCATAACAAAAATCACAAGATCAGTGCTCCCGGCCACCGACCAGGTGCTTTTTGTTCCACCGTGCTCAGGGGTTGGTTCTCTCCAAACAAATGATCAGCCAGACCGGCGGTGCTGAGGGCGACCCAGGGATCGTGTGACAACATAAATGTCATTGTCATAATGTACACTTAGATATATCATATATAAAGCAAAGGCATACAAAGGCGGAGTCATTCCATCCCGAGAAATAGGCTTGACCGATCCGTAGCTTTGTTCCTCTTCCACCGCCTTACACCTTCTGGGGAAAGGCATCCATAGGTGTATCTCAAAATGGAGACTGGATATGGGCAGAATGAATAGGGGAAAAATCCGTGCAAACAGATGGCGGACCCCAACTCGTTTAGAATTGGAACCCTGCCCCTCTGCCCCTCTGCCACTTTGCGTCCAGGTGTCATCGTAGTTGCATGGAAACGCAGCTCCCCACATCACTCATGGCAATGACTCGACAGGAACGGCTGGTTCGTTCGACGAATGCTGTGTCACTTAGGGCATGGCTCCGATGTTTCAGAAAGCTCGTCATGTGCCCCGTCTTTTAAACGGGTTTTCAGAGCAAGCCTTCATGTGTCAATTCAAGAAAAACATCCTCTGGTTATCTTAAAGGATCCGTGTTCTCAAAGCTTCCTTATTGATCTGATGACATTGCTATCCATGTTCTTTGCATCTTCGAGTTCAACGGCTCAGCACAAACAGTGATACACACGTTGAGAGCCATCAATGCAACAATTGCATTGTAGAGATGTGAGTGCTGCAAACATGTTTGGAAGAACGAACTTCTGGCTGCATGGTGGTCTGAACTCCTCTCAGTGTGCAATGTCACTTGCATGATCGATTTTAAGGCGACCAAGGAAAATGGATTGATTGCTAAGGAAGCGCTTGCATAAGTAGAGTAGAGAAAGGTGTGCAAAACACTCAACACCCAAACCTTTGAGCGCCCTGACCCTGATGCTCGACAAACGCCTGCAGGGCGTAGCATCTCCGTGTCATGTTCTCAGGTATCCCTGCGTCTTCGCTATGGCATCTTCAGATCTAGAAAGATTGGAAGGACACAGCACGCACTCGCATGTACTCGCCAAGAACCACTGTCTCTCCGTTGCGGTCACCGTTCTTTTTTTCAAGTGAAGGGGGACTTCATTCTGAACCTAGCTCTTGCGAGCAACCATCTAAGTGTGTGTGTGTGTTTTTTTTGAAACTGAAAGCAGTGGTCACTGTCTCCTACTGTGTTCGTTCACCGTGTTCGTTCACTGTCTCCTACTGATGTTGTCCATCTGTCCAACCCTCTCCTCTTCATCACCTGACAGCTCAGCGAGACGAGCTTCAAGACGACGAGGCGAGTGGCGGTAGGCCGGACCGGAGAAGCCGGTCGAAGCATCGATGACGAAGGTGAAAACAACATGCATGCATAGTGATCAAAATGATCAAAAGAACCAAGAACCAATGTTAGTTTATGTTAGTTTCACAGCCCTTATTATGCCCTATTCGATCCTTACATATCAGAAGTTGTTGGACGCTGCACATGAACATACCCCAGCTGCTTCCGCTTCCGGGGTGGGTCACCTCTTCAGTTGGGTGGTCCCCAACAGGAAAGCGAGGACAGGCCGTTGCGGAGCGGAAACAGCACGTTCCCGGCCCAAATATTCAAAGGACCCAACAGTCGGACCCCCCTTTCGACCACTGGGTTTGATCTTCGGGTTTCTGGTCGTTTGGTCTTCGGACAACTTCTCAGCTTCGATAGTTTGTGGGGCCTGTTCATCAAGAGGGTTGGAGTCTCGAGGTCTCCAAAAGCATCCCATGGTGGATCCAATCGACATGGGCCTCTGGGCGGTTGACATCTCACGAAACCGTCACGGCCAACGTCACGGGGCTCGGCTCCGGGCCAGGCAAGCTTTGACAAACTCCAGGGCCGTGAAGGCAAAGCTCGCCAAACTGGCCCACTCGGAGTGATTGACATGCGACATGGAGTATACAGGTGTAGTATACTAATTCGGTCAAACAAAAGATGAATTATGGGTGTCAAGTGATCTATCATCTGTCATGTTTCTCTGTCTTTTTCCGGCACCCTTCTCCATCTCCACCCACCTTCTCCAGAAACTTCGTTACGAAAACTCCTTCACTGGCAGCCCCTCAAGATGTCCTCCATAGAAAGGGGTCCACTCCGGTCCGCCACCCAACGTGGGGTAGCCTGTGCCATCGAACCCCTCAATCCACTATGTTCCGCCTGAAAGGCCCCTGATCCCGAAAAATGTAAAAACAACAAAAACCGTCCGCTGATCACTCGACGTAGCTCCATGCGGACGGTATGCGCACGACCGATGTCTGATGAGTGCGAACGACATTCGGAGTTTAAGCCAGTCGGATGTTCATCGAGTGAAGTCATGTTTGCGGCTGGGCGGGTTTGACAGCGGCTGTCCGTTCGTGATCGGAAGAGGGAGCGGCTCCAATGGTCCGAAGGAAGAAGCACAGAGAGATGAATGGCTGCCTACTTGGCCTGCTCATAACATGTCCCCACCCTTCCCCACCCACATCCACAGTTTGTCAAAGGGTGTACGGTGTATGGATTATTGCTGGGGACAAACCTGGAATTCGGGCTCAGGCTCAGACTTCTTCAGTCTCACCTTGCACCGCTGTTCCACGGCTGTTCCACCCATGCACGTATGCACCACAGCAGTAGCAGCAGTAGCACTGCAACGGACCGATTTGAAGTGGAATGAACTTGCAAACTGAGTCTGACTTAGTTTGAAAACAGTTGTTTCTTCAAGAGTTCAAGAGCCCTGCATGAACTACAAGAGTTGTAGGGCTGTCTTCAGTGAGGTGTCGCAAAACCTCATTATATGATTATATGATATGCTAAATACCGGACCCACTGGCTTCAAATAGACCTCCAAGTCCTTGACCTGAGTGCAGTGAGGAATTGAGATGTGGAGCTGAAACAAGGGGGGTGTTCTCAGCTCTCATCGGTCTCAAGTCTCATTGCTTTGTGGTCCATAAAGTAAAACATCAAGCATTGCAGAAATGCAAGTACAGCTTTGCCTTTGGATCTTTGTGATTCTTTGTGCACGTCCAAAACCGATGATGGAAAGATTGGTGAGCAAGCTGTCCATCATGCAAGCTTCTGTTGAGCAGCTCTGAAACCACAAAGGCGCAAAGGATGGGAAGAAAAGCAAAGAACTCAAAGAGCCTTTGGGCAATGGAAGCAACTCCAAACTGGTGGCGCTTGTGGGACGAAGGCCACATGGACTCTTTTGAGGGGACATCAAGTTCCATGCGGTCACGCTCGGCCAGTGGACTGGAAACAGGATAAAATGGATGTGACGCTTTCCATGGTCTGTGACCGCAGGCTGTGATAGAATAGAATAGATGAGGTGTACGGAGAAGTTGGGATGATTCAATGACCATCAAAAAAAACAAATGGGGTCAGGAACTCGGTGATCAAAATTACTCAGATTGTTTAGATAGAACACATCGGTGGAATTCGAATCGTGGTTGGGGCAGACGTGCAAAAGAAGCAACACAAGTACGCAGCAGACAAACACACACAGAGAGAAAAACCGTTAAGCCAATTAAGGTTGAGAGGGCTCCACAAAACAATTGTTAGAAACAAAATAGCAGAAATACCGCAGAGTGGCCGAGAATTCAGTCTGGGTCCCTGACTGGCATGAAAAGGCTTCGGCCTTTCTCATCTTGCCTTAATGTTCCACTTGGCGGAGGACGTGCCGAATTGGCCGTTTACGGCCAAGCAAATCGTTCCAAATGCATCGATTCGTGCACCAAACGAACAGAAGTAAATGAGTATTAAGTAAACGACCATTGGCCTCCTAAAGGGCAATGAGGGGCAGATTCCAAGACAAGATCTTCGTGTCACCCAGTGACAAACCTTTGTCTTTCCTTCGGAACGTTCGGCGGACGCGGAAGCCATCGGCGGACGCGGCGTTCGGCACCGGAATGCCGCTCCGCTCTTTTTTGTACTGGGGCGATGGACTCCGAGGCGACGAAAGAAAGCCAGTACCTCCGCGATTTGCTGCACCAGACTGCTAGTTCCAAAGTGTCTTGGAGAAGTCACAGAAAGGTCCCTGAAGTCACAGAGAGTCCCGCTCGCTTCACTCGCTTCACTGAGTGCATTGCAATGCATTCCTGTGTCGCTCAATCAAGTGTTATAATTAGAGGCATAGCAAAAAGAGGAAGGACATGTTTGGGTACTACTGTATATCATACGTATCATACAATAGCAGCTTGCTCGCGTGGGCACAAGGCTTGCGCAGTGGAAGACAAAACATACAATCGGTGTTCTTCAATGCAGCCCTCAATCAAGATTAAAGGCAATTGCGCAAGGACTCTGTGGCAGTGATTAACAAAAGGTTTTTCGTGTAAGATGCCTGCTTGGGCAAGGGCACACTGCGCTAATCTCCAGAGGGCACATCCAAATTCGCGGAAGGTGCGCAAGAACGGCACTTCAGCAAACCAACAACTACATCCAACTACTAAGATTCTACATCTTGGCACTCAAAGTCCAGCCCACCGTCGCAGCGGAAGCAAAACCCCGGTCGCACTCGGTGGAGATCAAGACATCGAAGAAGCGCCAGGGCAGTGCAGCAGCGCCCCACCTGGAAGCCACCGCCTCGGTGGCGCAGGGAACCCAACTGCCTGGTGTTGGACTCGCTTCGGAAGCGAAGAGTGGTGTTGGCTTAACGTATTCTTGGCGTGAAACCCATGGCCCCAACATGTTTTCAAAGATGTGTTAACCTCTCTGATAAACACAGCGACTACAGTGGAGTGTCTCCTTCCGTGGTTGTCGTCAAATCCAGCAGCTGAAGCATCAGTTGAACAAGCTTCGGGACAGAAAAAGTCCTCCAAGTTTCATGATGGGCCAGGTGAAAAGAGTCAGAATCCAGTCTTTACAGGTCTGTCGGGCCACATGCAAGGACTGCCATCAGACTGCATTGTCAGCCCGGACGGTCCGAACGCACCGGACGACGGCGACCATCTGTTCCACGAGGTATATGTTAGCACCCTCCCGCAAACTGACCATGCAACCTGATGGCATGGACCAGATCGCATGGACCATTTTTCCGAAGACCAAGCCACAGTGTCTTTTGGGACGCCAATGTGGTCCTCTGCACAGGGCCCCTAGAAGATGATAAGATATAATAGCACAAAGCGCGCCCATATGCATATCTAAACTCTTACAAAAGCATGGCACACAGACTGCATGAAACCTTTCATACGCCCAAGTTCTCGACACTCTACATACTCTCTACATGTGCAAAGCTGCATTGATATTCTTCATTGCAGATTTAATGATGTGCAGACAACCGCCCATATCGTCGTGGTGGTGAACATCTTCTAAGCTCTTCAGATGTGTCAATGCAGTTTTCAGTTCTAATTTGCGACACTAGCTACGATCAGATGACGATGGAGATGAGCTAGAAGACGAAGATGATGAAGATGCAGCATTGGCCTTACCCTCCTTGGGCTTTGTCTCGTTCATGCCATCCTCCTCAACGATGTTGTCATCCTTTGGCTGTGATTCAACGGCTTCTGAGCAGGAAGGCTCCGCCCCTGGTTTGTCCTCCAATGCCAACATATTCTTTTTCTGCATCCCTTTCACATCTTTCAAGAGCCACGTGTCGAGAACATCTTGTGCTTCACGAGACCACTGGCCAGCCATGCCAGGAGCTAAATTCAAGCTTCGTTGCACATAGTGGATATGCGCTTGAAGCTGTCTTGGTGTTCTTTGTTTTTTTTCGGCTCACTATTGCTACAAGTTAGATACTACCCCCCGTCACTATTGCAAGTCACTATTGCAAGTCACGTGCTTAGAAGACATTAGTTGAAGCAAATCATTGATCTGTTTGCAAAGGATTTATGTTAGCAGATGAATTGCAATACAGCAGATACAGTACGCAGCAGATGCAGTTGGATCAGATGATTCAACATAAATTATTCCCAGGGGGGGCCGAAAAGTCCACCAGCCCATATATATATATGTTTGTAATATATATATATATATATGATCCTGGACCCATGACAGCACCGCTCACCTTCCTTCTGTGCGAGCACGGAGTGCTTTGAGTCGAGGGTACTCTGTACTCTGTTCGTCGGTGAGTTCGTCAAAATCGGTGGGTTTGGGTTGAGATCTTCCAAACCACCGAGAAGAGCTCACACCCCGTAGGAGGCGCTGATGAGGGTATCCCCACCCAAGAGTATATGGAACTGATTCGCAGAAGCCCTCTTGGACGCAGAAATTCGTCACCGAGTGCTGAAAGGATTCAGATTCGCCTGGCCTGCCCACCAAATCAAACAATTTGAGTCACCTTTCAGATGAAAAGAAATGCTCGGACAAATCTGCTTCAAAAAAGAAACGAATAAAAAGAAATGCGGAGCTTCTTGGTCTCACTGGGCCTCCCACTGGAGGGCAAGGCTCACCCCAAGAGATCAGTCGGCCTGAGGGAGACTTGGGAAGTCCTAGTACGTGCACCCCTCCGAAAGTCTTCATCAGAAAGTTGTTGCATACTTACTTAGAACATCAGGTCAAGGTCATACAATCATGTTCAGATTCATCTGTTCTGTTGACAAAACAACATCATGCACTACTTGGAAAGCATGGAAGTCACCCTTCTCCTTGAAATGTGTGACATCTAGTGTATGTGTATGCTAAGTGATGCTGTGTGATGTATCTCATTGTTCTCATTTTACATCTTCACACCAACTCTCCCTGGGTCCACGTCGCAAGTGACAGTATCCACCTTGACTCCTCCAGGCTGGTCGCTTCGAACATGTTCGAGTTCCTGCTTTACACGCGTATGCATAACAAAATAAGCATGCACCACATGGTGTCTTTACACCAACTCGATGAGTTGACACATGGGTCGTGTCCTTGGTTGCTGGGCTCTCCTTGTCTCAATGAAATCAGAGGGATCCATCAGCGACAAGAGTGAGGGTGGAAGTCCCACAACATTCACCTCGGGCGGACCCAAACGACGAGGTGACAGACGGCTGATCAAAGTCTCCGCATGGAACCCGAAAATGATCCAACATGGTTCGTTTACAGCTTCAAAGTGACGAGACTCAAGAGCACACGGTGTGCAACTCATTCACTTCCTCCATGACCACGCGATGTGAGTGTGCAGAACTGGATTGCGAACATCTCCACAGGGTGTCTGACAACATGAGAAACGTTCGGACGCTCAGATCCGCGCTTGATGTGTTCGAATGGCTTTTGCCAAGTCCTGTCAAAACTGCGTACTCCTGTGCAAGTGAACTTTGGTGCTTCAGGGAAATATATGTTATATTTTATATATTATGCCAGACTGTGCGAACCCAGATTTTTGAGTGTCAAGCAATTCTTTTTCCATGTAAAAAAAACACTCTTCGAGACAAGACTGCGGCCAGAGTGGTGCAGGTGAAAAGCTCACAAATCCTCGCAGGATTCACTCAGAGTAAACTAGCCCAACAACGCGGCACGGCAGGGTCCTTCACGTCCATCGCCTCCTTAGCTTGTCCAAGGCGAAAGCACCTCTCCTCTAATTGGTTGGACACTCTGAAAAGATCAATGAAGAATTTGGACACTGAAGAAACCCATCGCGAAGCTGCCCTGGATCTCCAATCCCACTGGATTCTCACGGCCGGTCCCAGTGAATGTCTCTCTGCCGCCGAAAGGCGGAGACGACCGCACAGCCTCGCAGGGCCAAGGCCAAGTCCAACTGCCCAAAGACCGCGCTGGCCCAGTACAAGGAGGAAGGCTGCAAGACCCGAGCCTCAGCTGCAACTGGGGCTGTCGGCCGGTCTCCGATGCTCTGGACGATCCATCTCGGCCGAGGCGGGTGATTCTGCTTCTTCCTCCAATTCAGTATGCAACTAGGGGATCCTGGCATCGCTACTAGGAGCAAGGACGCTACTAGGGGCGCCTGGCACCCGCAGTCCAATGTCCGGAGGTTTGCATGGCTTGGATTCGAGCTGAAGGGATGTCGCGTCAAACAGCGAGTAGGGGGCAGGGGCAAAGTGAAGCCCTCCATGTTTTATCATGAGACACAGTAATTAGAGATTACGTGTTTACTATATGATCAATCTCGGGCCAGGAAGGCCACACAAGTTGTGCAACAGCGGTGGATGTGTCTCATCTTGACAGCCAAGCCCCCGACTCCTTCACCAGAACTGAGGTCACCTCTCATGTAGCTGCGAATCACTGTGGACTCTGGACACTTGTGGCTTGCGACCAACCTCTTATGAAAAAGCGCTTGATCCACTCCATGCTTTTCTCAAATCTGCGACCCCAAAAAATGACGGAGCGACCCACTTCTGTCGGTCTATGAGGTGTTTCCTCCACAGGTGGATATTTAAGAACAACGAAGCAATTAATTACTATGCTTTGCAGCTCAAATTTGCTCAAATAGTAGGGTGACCCCCCAGATCGACCCTTAGAAGGAAGCCCAAATTCCTTTCATTAATCTCCCTTGTGTGAGCTACACCTGCATCCAAGCTCCGCTCCGCCCTGCTCCGCTCTGCGGAAAAAAATGACCTATCCAGCTGCGCCTGGCCAATGCAAGGCCTCCGGGTAACGCCGAAGCTCGTGCCAGGCCATGCCGTGCGTCACGGGCACGCAGCGCTGGCGTCCCGTCGTGCCGCCCGTGAAACCTGACGACGACGAACGGCCGTTCAACCACGACGACGCGACCACCAAGCAATGTGTCCGGTGACGTTGGCGGAAATGAGGTGCCTATAGGGAATTTAGGGAAAAGAAACGGATGGTAATGATGCAAAGAACATGTGTCTATCTATGTCTATTTGCCAGATCCGAGAATGGTAAAGCACATTAGAGGCAGTGCCCACAGACCTTCCTAATTCTTCATTATAAGCCCTTCTGCTCCAAGCCCGCCGCATCAAAGACCTCGAATGGCCTCTAGGCGTCCGGCAAAAGCACAGGACATCATCCTCGGAGACCTCGGAGACGAACTTCTTCACGGAGGCGTCCGTCTCCTGCAGTTCATGTCGACTTGCACAGACAAAGGCTTCGCAGGGACCCATTCGGTCAGCTGGTGACCATGGTGACACCATGGTCTCAACTTGGATCTTAAATCCATTCAGTCCATTCGGTCCACACACGCTCTGTCACAGCTCTCGCCCGTCACACGTGCCGCACAGCGCAAGAGCCGCTGGCCCTCCATACGCTCTGCGCCGCTCGACTCCACCGACTGGGCAGACCGGTTCACGTCGGGCTCCTGGGCGCCGAGGTCCAAGACCTTGCGAAAGTGATAGCGTCGAAGCTCCACCTGGACGGCAACCGCCACCGGGCACCCTGGACGTCGGACGAACGGAACCCACGCAACGAAGAATCGCAAGCTCGTAGGGGAGTGGGAACTGCATGAACGTCTATCTGGGGGGGTGTCCCAAAACAGAATTTGTCCAAAACATTGGTGCCTATGCAGCGCATCACATCTTACAAAATGTTTGTGATGTGTCTGGTCAAAGTGAAAGGTGAAGAATGAAATGAGATGCAGCTAGAAGAATCTATAATGAACTTCCGTCATGTGGTGACATGTTCAAGCAGCATCCGCATCCAAAAAAATGTGTTCCTTGAAAACAGGCACCTCCGTTGGCAAAGCTTCATCATCCACCTTCAGGCGTCCCAACACATGGTAGAAATCACACACCTGTGGAAAACAATTGTCCCACAAACACAGGGGCTTCCCCCAAATTCATGACAAAAAGATTGGCTTGCCCTCAATCACAGCTTGAATATGCTTGAATTCAAATCCGCAAGAACTTGGGGTGAGTTTGATCAAGACAAGCTGCCCTCCAACGGATTTTGGCCAAAAAAACAATAAACTCCCGCATCAATTGTCAGTCTCAGCGAGGTTGTGGGGGCTTTCCGCTGAGTGAAACTCATTCGAGGGACCATGTTCTCACCAAGCGACGATCAACAACTGCGGCTCCAAGGCCAAAAGCTGCGACCAGCGAAGGGAACGCAGCTCAGGGGATCGTCCTTTACTGGGTTCCACTGGCATGGCAGCCTCAGAAGTGCTTGCAACGCAGCGCTTCACACTACTTCAGCCTGCTGCTGTTGACATCGTCATAGGTTTCAAGTTGTGGTTTTATACAAAGACTCAAACATGTCCAGTTGAGTTCATTCATGTCCAAACTGATCATGTACCGAAGCATTTCTTTGCAAGGCGCCAATGGGACACCCAAGCGTGCAGCCGCAATGTAGAGAACGTACCAGTCGCACCCTGCACAAATCTCACAAATCCCGTCACTTGCGAAGGATTCGGTCAGGGACTTTCTCTTCTCCCAATGCATGGCGAGGAGGCTGGCGCTGGGCCCCCAAATATTGAGAGTCGGACTGAAAGCCACGGACGTCGTGCGAATCTGCGAATCTGTGAAAAGGTTTTTCTGGTTCTTTGGGATCTCCAAGACCGCTCAACTGGAAGAAGAGGATCAATCAATGTGGCTGTCTGACCCCAAAAAGACATCACTGGCCACAAAGCTGCAGCTTTCTGCGGCTTTTTGGCCACACGACGCACCTCGCTGCATGTGGCTGAGCAGCGGCCGCCTTGAAACGCCAAGAGCCACGAGACCTGGACCGGGCGATGGGTCTCCGACGTGCGAGGCTGTGGATTCCCATCCGACTGGTTGAGAGGGAAGGTCTCTCAGACCTCAGGTCCGGACCCGACCAGTAGAATTACATATGGGATGGGCTTTAAAAAAGCCGCTGTAGCACTACATGGAAGGATGGACCCTATAGCTGCATGGGATGGACACCAAAACCGCTCTTCAAGCCGTTTCAAGACCCTAACGTCGCAAGAAGGTGAGCGCGCTTCTCCGGAACGGTGGAGACAGCGCTGGTGGTGTCCGTGTTTGGTGTCCGCGCTTCTACAAGACCTGACGGCTGGAGATGGTTGCCTCCCTGTAATTTGGCGCATCTTGCTGTGCTCGCTCGCGCAAGAGCACCACCTCTTCATGTGCTGTGTTTTGTGTTCTATTTGTCCGGCGGCGTTGCTTCGTGGATGAACATCTGTGAAAACAGAATGTTGTACGTTTAAGTGCTCTCCCTTGCGGCTGGGTTTTGTCTTCTGTTGATGGTTTCCAATGTAAGGGTGTGGGTCTGACTACTTAAACAATCGCTCACGGGATCCTGTCATGGCTCGCTTCATACCATGGGTTCGTTACAATTCTGTTGTCACACATGCTAGTAGGATGTTTCCATGTTTTGCCTAAATTCAGCGCTTTGCAACCGCAATCAATGTGTTGCTGCTGAAAAAAGGACAAGTGCCGCTTTTGGACGCAGAAGACCCAACATGGAAAAATCATGTGCGAAATCGCACTAGGCACAAATTTCAGGATTGAAACAGAATTCAGTTTTGTGATGTATTTAGTGGCCGAACCACTGTTTGTGACTTGAACGGCCCGAGCAAAGCTTAAACGCAGGCGGCAGCCGGATGCTTGTTGTGCGCATCACTTATGCAGAAGCTCTGTCAGCGCAACCACGGGTCAGGTTGCTGCAAATAATCTCAAGTTACCCCACTTACCCTACTTGCATTGCGTTTTGACGACGGGTTCGTAAACAATTAATTGCTTTTCATGTTTTTCCGGCACCAACTGAGATCCTTGATGCCTCAAACTACACAATACACAAAACGACGCAACTTCCAACCATTGATCGCCAGCAGCATATTCCAACCAAAAAAACGACCCCTGGTCATTTCCTTCCATCGCTATGTCTACCCAACGAGCACAAACCCTTTGAACCCCCAAAAAATCGTGATATGTTATCATATGAATCATATACTAGAATATTTGTTGCACTTACGAGGACCAGCTAGATTTAGATTGCGCAACACGGCGTCCGTGAAGGGCCACCCGGCCTTGGGCCACTGACGACGACTTCTGCGCAAGGCCACGGTAGGTGAGGCACGACCCGTCGTCCAGCAACATTGCAAGTCTCCCCGGCGCCTGCGAGTAGCATTTCACTGGGTGCGAAGGGTTGGGACTTGAAAAACGGAATCAGCGCTGAAGGGGGGGAAGTGAACCAAATCCTTGACGCATCGAGACGACCGACGACCTGCGTGGCGCGTGGCCTCGGCAGCCACAGCATCAACCGCCGCGGGCAAGGCCATCGAGACTTGTCTCACATGGGATCGGCGCTCACGGGCACTGAGCTTGAACAATAAAAGGTAGCTCACAAGGTGCAATCGGAGCAAGGGGAAACCTTTCAGACGCCAGGTGGAGTGCCTCTTGCAAATATGATCCTCGTAGTCGATTCAAGGTGGGGGGGTCCAGCACCCCATTTTGTAGATATAAAATGGTGGTAGGCTACACCTAGTACACATCAAATGCAGGTACCCCACCACAAGTGTCATTCCATAAAATGACAAACCCCCACGTCACAAACCCAGCACCATCAAGCACCATAAACCCATTGTGTCCTGACCTCTCCTCACACTTACCTTTTGCTACCCTTTGCCATCCTTTGCGCGCGCGCAGAGTGAAGGATGAGGGGCGGCCGGCACCCACCTCTCTTCTATAAAATGGCTGCCCCCCACCCCCCAACCTCTGAATGAAAGCAGCTAAATGGAGAAATCCCCAGCCACGCCTAGCTAGATGGATGTACAGTATCTGGCAAGCACATTCCCACAAGATCTCACAAGTTTCCAGAATCTGTGAGTGCGTGCAACAAAAAGGCCAGAAAAAGACATGTTAGAGGAGCCATTTGGATCATTTTGGACCCATTTAATGAGCCATTGGACCCTTTACGCTTACAGCCAAACGTAGAAAAAGCCTTGGAGATCGAGCGCAAGTCTTGTGCGAATTCCAGGCCGATCAGCCGATCAGCCTTGTACGTTCGTCCGCGCACCGTCGGCCCCGTCTAGCTCAAAGCTTTACAAATTCCATGCAGCCCCAGCCAGGAGAGATGTTCCACTCCAAACCATGAGTGCAAGCTAGCTCCTCCAGATAAGGTTTGCATCTGTGGATCATGGATCACTACAGTCAACTCTTTGGTACGCAGTGGTTTCCCTGACTGTCTCTGGTTGAAGAGTTCTTCTCTTAGTCACCCGAGAACTCAAGGGATGAAGATCGGACTCCAGGCGGTTTGATTAACCCGAGAGGTCCGCACCCTCAGAGGACGTCGTCACGACGGGCCGACTCGGGAAGACTCGAGACTCGGTCCTCGGCGTCGGCTGAGGCGAACAGAAACCGAAAACGGACGGTCACGTCACGTCGGTTCGGTGTCAGTGGATTCATCCAGCTCCTTCGTGCGGAGGAAACTCCATGTTTGGGGAATGTCGCAAGATGTCTCAAGTGATGGAGCTGAGAAATGATCAGTCCCTTATTCATAAGCAGCTGCAGTCGATCAGGATGAGAGACTTCTTCAGGAGCCCACCCACAGGCGCGCGCCGGCGCGCGTCGGCTGCTGGATGGGCCTCGGACGCGTGCGTTGTGCGTTTCCCGGTGGCCCAGGGTGCCGCCCGTTGTACAAATGGGTGAAAAGGGTTCAAGGCGGGTTCATCTACCAGTCCTTAGTTGGATGTTCTTGGAGTATTTAGATTGATAATATGTAATTTAGATACTGGTCGCCAAATGAGTATGCATCACCTATCCCATCTCAGTCTCAGCAAGGCCAGAACCCAACGTCCATTGAATACCCCAAAGACCATTTTCAGAAGGTAGTTAAAGCCCCAGGGTAAATTAATGTAAATTGACACAAGATTTGAGGCTTCGAGGCAGGTCAATGACTGATGAAATGGTTGTTGCCCAAACTGCCGCATCGCAAAATGGTTTGCAACTCGGAGCAAGTGACTCGTGTGTTTGCCAGACCGCCTGGACAACGGCTGCAGCTTACTTCATGCCCATGTGCATGTTCCGCTCATCGGACAAGGACCATTGAGTCGAGTCACCCTCAACACTGCCAGTCTTGGCTCTTTTCCGAATTTCTCTGTGCTGTGTTTGTCCTTCATGTCGTGGCAAGTTGCAACCATTTGCAGCGCCAATAGTTAAAAAGAACACCGAGAAGTCCCGAACAAAAAAGAAAGGCGAGAGAGGGACGTCTCATAGTTTGATTTTTGTCCGGAGAACAATCATCTCACATGACCGGACCAATCTGTGGACTTCTGAAAAATGTAGGATTTCTGCCACGCCAACTCATCAGAGGAAAAAAGTGATGAAGTCGACGATCGCATCCACCGTGTCCTTCAAGGCAGCCTCTCCGTCTTGATTGTTGTCCAAGGTGAGGACCGGAAGGGATTTGAGGCCCTCGAAGCCATTCTGACGGAAAGTCCCAGTGGACATCTCCTCCAGGATCTCCTTCAGCTTCTCTCCCGTGGCCCTCGAAAGCTTCTTGGCATCTGTCTCCTCATCTTGGAAGGTCAAGGCGGAAGTTGGGAATTGAGCCCTGCGCCTCACCATGGTTTCAGGTGTGATTGTCAGCAGCATCAAGAGCACGATTCCAGCCTCTTGCTCCTGTCGGATGGCGTCGACTGCGCGCTGGAGCAAGTCTCCGTGTTGCTCGGGACGTCGGGTGAGTGCCCAAACAAAGTTCCCCAAGTGCCACGTCTCCACCACCCTCGAAGTGTTCCTTCGCTCCTCATCGCGGGCAACTTCTGCCTGATGAATCGTACAATCCCAAGTTGCAGGGTACTTGCCCTGCTGCTCCTGCTCTCCGCGCAAAGAAGTTCCTAACTCTTCGTCAGACTCCCACTGGGTTCTCTCCGCCAGCCTCTTTCTGACAGTACTCTTCCCCGCCGTATGAGCACCCATGATGACCACCGTAGCCTTTCGAGCCCTTGGCTGCTCCCAACAAACGTCCAAGCACTGCGGGGAGAAAGGCAACACCGCCCTGGGACCAACCCACAACCGCGAAGAAGAAGCACTGCCCGGAAGCCGCTTCCATTCACATCGGCGGGTGCCTCCCGGAGCTGGCGGATGGCCCATGAGCACCTCCATCCGGAAGGGAATGAAGATGTAAGCGGCGGACGGTCCTCCTGGAGTGTCAACACTTCGAACACCCAAAACCGCCTCTTGGTCCTGCAATGCCATCCGCTCTTTGACCTCGGGCGGATGGCCGGGCTCGAACGCGTGCTGCGCGAGTTCCTGGCATCTTTGCATGGCGCAGGCCAGACTGACAGGCGGAGGCGGGGATCCCCATCGCATCTGGCGGACTACACCTTCACCCCTCCACTGCTGCTGGAAGGGGTAGCTGCCAAGCAGCAGCACCATGGAAGCAACCACCTCCTCGCCTGCTTCCCCGGTCGCGCCACCTGCGCTGCCCAAACCAAAGAAAATGAACCCGGTCTCCGTCACGGAGTGGATGCCCAGGTTCCGCAGTGATGGTGGAGCGCCAGATGAACGGTTCAGAGTGGCAAGCTGGAAGGACCATGAGACGTGTTTCCCTCTCCTCCCCAGCTGCCACTTCTTATCCCCAGCAGAATCCCCCAGAAGACCTTCCTTTCTTGCAACATTGACCAAACAGCGAAGAGGATCTGCACCCAGCACCGACTGCAAATGCTCGGTGGAAGGGAAGAACGCCTTGTCGATTCCACCCTTGGCCATATCGAGCATTTCCTCCTTGCTGAGGCCGCTCACCCTCAGAATGATCTGCTCCACTTCAAGCTTCGAAGCGGCGGAGACCTCCGCAAGCTGTCCGCTGCTTGCAGCATCCTGGACCAAAATCAACTGCAGTCGAGGCTTCAGTAGACCTGGCATGGTCAGGAAACGTCTCTTGCAGCACGGTTCAATCCTTGATCAAGTCATTGGAAATTCCATTATCATGTTCATTAATGCTTGTCATGTCGACAAACCGAGCTATGGAAAAAAAAGAAAAATAAGTACGATGGACCCCACAAGTGGGTAGGCACTCAACCCAAACACGACGGTTAATTAAGCATTCTTGCCTTAAACATGTTTGCTTCAACCAACGTTCAAACACTCCTTAGGCCGTTTGCGCTTGTCTTGGGTATGTCATGGTATTTCGGCAAATCACATGTTTGAGCCAACCGGTCGTGGCCGATATGTGTGTTTGACCACGGCTTGTCATGTTTCGGAGTTTGGCACGACCTGCCTGGAGGCCACACCCACAATTCGTCTCTAGACACCTCTTCTTGACTGCAGGAGATGGCTGAAGACAAGAAATTCGCAATGATGAACACCAAAGGCTGATGCTCGGCCATGCAAGCATCCTTGCATTCCTGCACAACCATGTAGTTGGACACCACGTTGAATGCCCTCGCTGCCGCCCCTCCAAGCTGGTTGAACATGCCCTGGACAGCACTCAACGATGCTGGCGGAGTGCAAGCCATCCGCACAGATGATTGAGGGTACATGTCAACCAAGCCTTCAACGAAACTCCTACCTCCTTCGTTGGCGCCCTCCACGGTCACAATGATGGGCTTGTACCATGGGCTGCTGGCATCAAAAGTCTTCTGCAGCCTATTCAACCTCGTGTAGAAGCCTTCCACTTCGGTCCACCCATCTTCCCCCACACATGCTTCCAGCTTTGAGGTGGTTGTCGCAGCCCTCAACTCGAACGCAGCCGTGGAAAGATCGGGACAAGCGTCCCAAGGACCGAGTCTCTGCTTCTTGCAGCCTGGATCCATGCCGAGTGAAGTGTTCTCTCGCTCAGGCTATCCTCGATCCAAGTCGGCTAAGTGTTCAAGCCCAAGTCGGTGGGGTTTCAACCACCTCCTGTCTTTAATTCTGCAGCTGTTTAACACAATGCCACATCCACGTTCTACAGCGCATGGATGTGCGGTGCGGTGGAAAAGCTCAAGTTGACTCAGGCCCTCACCCCGCACCAGGACCACAAGGGCCTGCAAGGCCCGCAAGGCTCTGCGCCTGAGAAGCGCAAAACATGCACCAGGACCGCAGCGTCTTTTTTTCACCGCCTGTTCGACCCCCAGGCAAGGCTTAAGGGAGCGCGATTGACCAAGGGGACCAGTCCCTCTTTCTGCACTTGGAGAAACGGTTCAAGAAAAATTGATGTAAACCAGACTCAAGACTCAAGGTATTCTTGTAAAATGACGTGCAAAACATGTTAACTTCACACTTTCATCCACCCTGCGAAGGAAGAATGCCTGCAGCACATGAGGAGGTTGAGGTGGCACTTTGCAAGAGGTAGCGGCACTTCAAGAGGCAACAGCAAGGCAAGAGGAGCAACTCCAGCAGCTGGCAGCAGCTAGCTGCAAGCAATAAACAGCAAGAACCAAAGATGTCGCAACAATTTTTCCTTTCAGGCTGGCGTGCGGAGGAAAACAATCACCACACCCTTGACAAAGGCGTCCCCAACTTGGATTGCCGTGACGTTTCATTTGTGAGGCACAAGTGATTGTAACTCATCCCAAACGCCAATCCTGGTGGTCCAAGTGACCCGGAAAGCCAGCTCTTTCCGCAAAACTGGTCACTGGAAATGAACCATGCCTGTGGGGAAAAAGGACGTGTGAAAAAGCAATGAAAGGCACAGCACTCTGACAGGTGACCTTGTGGCTGAGACCGGTACTGGGTGTGACCCATCTTCATGACCAGCCACCTCCATGCCCCCATGGAGGCGTTCTATGTGCATGCTGCATGCTGGCTTGCAATAACAACGGCTCTTGCAGGATGTGAACATGACCTCTAGATATGTCTGTGATGTTGCTACGTATGCTATGAGTAATGTGCCCCCGAAAAACGGTATACATCCACCAACAAAATGATACAAATTAATACCAAGGACATGTCCCCCTCCTATTTTTTAAGTTTATCTCAAGGCACAACTTAGTTGCGCGTAGGTGGCCGGGCCGTCCCGCAAAGCATGACAAATAGGGCATTGGCTGCGTTCCACAGGGCAGGTCCGGCTCTGCCTGATTTAAACAACCAATGGTTTTTGGTCTCTGTTCCTTCTTCTGGGGCCCTATGGGGCTTTGGGGCATCTCCTTGTCGCAACATGAAGCACAAACTGCCCAAAAAGGTTGGTAGAATTGTTGTTAAAACGGTTTAAACCCAATAAACATTTCCAGCATCACCCCTTTTCATGCGAAACTTGTTCCAAACTCACACGATAAACTTGCCTTTTGGGGCTCCAAAGAGTGAGAAGGAAAAACATGCGCAACCAAAATCAAGAGTGGAACCTCTCAGCAGCCCTCGGTCTGCAACATCTATGTCCCGCAACCGCCTTGCTCTTGGCATACGCATTGACCTATCGGGCCGGGCCAGCAGCATTCATGTTGCCTTTTGTAAGGCACCCATGTGTTATTTTCTGTCGGTTTCTATTTGCATACCTGGAAACGACCCGCCAGGCAGTTAGCAGTGCTGTGTCTATATTATGTACCAAGCACACCCCGAATGAAGAGATCGAACGAAAATCCAACCACTACACCTACAGCCAAACACTCTGAGGAACACCACACTCAACCTGAGAGTCCCCCTATGCCACTGGCTCCCACCCCTCCACTAAGAAATCTCGCTCAACAGCTGGCATGCTTCCAGCCTTCATTAGAATGCGCTGTGACGCCCTGATCTTGAAGGCGTTGGCCTCAGCAGGCTGCGGTTTCAGCTTCGATCAAGCGTCCCACAAGCCGCACCGCCGTACCGGGTCCAGCGAGTCTCCATCTGCGGACGGGGAAACCTTGATATGAACGCCCCAAAACCTGAAGAAAACCATGATTTGGTTTTCTAAAGAACATTGTCTCTAATTCATCCTAAGCATCGTTGGATCCTCCGGATGGTTTTGATCCATGAGGTTTGGACTCTCAAGACCTTCACCTTTGAGGGTCCTTGCTTGGTGTAAATTCAGTTCACTTTCGGCCGTGAACTTGAGTCCTCAAGCGGCTGTCGATTCATCCGACCCCCATCCCTGTCACCAAGCGGTCGCGACCGAAGAAAGTCTCATCTGACTCAGGGTCAAAACCCCGTAACCTGGTTGACCACCGAAGATGAACCAGTTCCTCTAGAAGGGATTTGGGGCCAAAATGGCCACGTTGGCACAACGGTTCCCTGGCCATGAGACATTCAAAAAATTGTTACTTATGTTCGCCGGACCCAGGCTAACTCTGAGAATCTTGAAAATAACAAAAAGCACCCCCCACAAAAAAAAATAAAAAACACAAACGAAAAAGCAAAAGCGAAAAAGAAACAAATCCGAAAAGCAAAAAAACAAATGGAAAAAAACTAAAAAACCAACAAATGGCGTCCTATTTGTTCGTTGTTTTTTCATGCTTTTTTGCGGGCGTCCTTGTTTTTCGGTTTTCCACATTTGCACAAAAAGAAAAGACATTACACCACCGTAGACCCCAAACAGGTGGGACAACAACGAAGCATTCCCAAGTCCATTTTTTGAGACATCAACAAGAAGGGGGGCAAGAAGGGAGACAAAAGGAAACAGAAGGGAGACAAGACGGACACAATGACCAACAAGAAGGGAGACAAGAAGGGAGCAGAACAAAGACGAGACGGACACAATGACCAACAAGAAGGGAGACAAAAGGAAACAGAAGAGAGACAAGACGGACACAATGCCAACAAGAAGGGAGACAAGACCGGAGACAAAGGGAAGACAAGACGGGAGACAAGACGGACACAGTGACCAACAAGAAGGAGACAAGACCTCAGACAAAGAGAGACAGGAGGGAGACAAAAGGAAAAAGGGAGACAAGACGGACACAATGACCGACAAGAAGGGAGACAAAAAGGCATGCCATGGGAGATGCTTGTAGCAACAAGAAAAAAGCTCAACTAAGGCGGCAAAAGGAAACAGAAGGGAGACAAGGCGGACACAGTGACCCACAAGAAGGAAGACAAGACCGGGCAAAGGGAGACAAGGCAGTCACAATGACCAACAAAAAGGGAAACAAGAAGGGAAACAAAAGGGAACAGAAGGGAGACAAGGCGGACACAGTGGGGACGAGGCGGACACAATGATTTAACAAGAAGGGAGACAGGAAGGGAGACAAAAGGAGACAAGGCCAGCGGAAAAGGGCGGACACCAGCAGTGACAGACCTGGGAGACAAATGAATAGAAATGTTGCAGACCTGAGAAATGACAGACCTGGGAGACAAATGAAAAGAAAGCATGGCCAGCGGAAAACGGAGAAGAAGGGGGAGGGAGACTTTCCACACCTCCAATAGATGGCACATTACCCATGTCTAAGATGGTTGGTTTCATGGTGGAATGGTTTGCTGGTTCTGCAGGCGTGTATCTAGTTCTCACTCTGTGCGTGTATGCCATCCATCGGTTCCAGTCAGCATATTCTCTATCGAACTTGAGTTCAGTGCAGTTGAGATAAACGAGAAGGGGCTGCAGGCAAGCTTTGTTATATAGCTCCTCTCTACAAACTGTAGGCTGGATGCAAACATCAGCCTACCTAGACTAGAAGCAATGGCCCCCACCTCAATAGCGATGGCCTCAAACCCAATAGCGATGGCCTCCAACCCTAATCGATGGCCTCCAGCCTAGCAGCAATGGCCTACTAGTGATGGCCTCCACACTACTAGAGATGGCCCCCAGCCTAATAGCTATGGCCTCTGGCCTAGTCGCAGGTGTTATAGATATGCATCGTTAGCATCTTCATGCTTCGTCACATGTGGCATAAGAAGGTTAAAAGCGATTAGTCGTGCCAAGGGGTTCCAGCTGCCCCAAAGAAAGGTGGACCAAAGCCTATAGGTAGTGTGGGGTAGTCCATTGGACACCCCTTGGATGGTCCTGGTATATGTGCGGGATCATAAGGGATATAATATGATATAATAGAGTTGCTGTCGAATCGAGAGCAGTCCTGCTACGAAAAGATGTGACCTCGAAACAGCCGACCTTTTGAGAGCATCTCCAACCCACACTGCGACCTGCCCTACATCCCTCACGAGGCCGCGGCCCCGCTTGGCAGGCCACGTGGATGCCATGCCGGCCTCGGCGCAAGAAGCGGGAAGCACGGGAGAAAGAGGACTCCGAAGCAACATCCAAAAAGAGGGAGAGTCGTGTTAGCTGTTTGTTGTTTGTTGCTTGATTTGTTTGTTTGTTTGTCTGTTTGTTAGTTTAGTGCTTTGCTGTGCCTGCTTTATGTTGATATTGACACGCAACACGAACTGAAGAGCTTGAACACTGGTATGAGGCTCGGATGCGTAACCTTGTGGCACGATTTGGTGGAATCAGGACTTGCACAAGAGCAATCTCAAATATCTCAAACGGCTGAAATAAGAAGCCGGACTCCCGAAACACCACAGGAAGCAACATACAGCCCCTAAGTAGCCCCAAGTGAATAGTTCTAAGTGGAAGATTTCAAGGGCAAGACCAGTGTTGATAGAAGAATCTCTGCCAAATCTGGTGCACAATTCTTCGTTCAACAGCAATTAGGGCGCCCAAAATGGCAATCATCTGAGGAGTCAACACTTTCGTGCTTCCGCTGCATCGGCCTGCAAGAAGCCAAGTGTGGATTCACTGGATTCACCGGCAGGGTCGTTGAGCTTCTCCAGTTGCTTAGCTTACCGCAATACCCTTGTTTGCCAGCTTTATTCTGTACCACTTCTGGCATCCTGCAACCCCCCAACAGAATTGTGACCTCATCATGCCGTGTGCCGCAGTCACTTGCAATGTGTCAAGTTGTTTCGCTAAGCAGGTCTTTGACGGTTGACTCTTCTTTACTTCTAGAGTCTAGAGTAAATTGCACAGAAAGACAAGCCGCAGGTCTCCTCAGATTGCATGTCCGATCGCAGGGCTCCGAGTGATTGCAGCGGGATTTGACCCTAGACGCTACGCGGAGCA